GCCTCTGCCCTCCGTGCACTGGGCCAAGCCCCGCCAACTGCAATAGATACAAGAAGCTCCTCCAGTCGCCGTCCACGTGGCAAACCACGAAGATACCGAAGCAGAAGCCGCAGTGAAAAATGATCCGCTCCCTGCTCCAAGCCGGCCCCACAGAAATGCTTGGCTGCCCGATCCCAATATCCAACAGCAGAGGAATAATCGAAATCAACGAAGAAGCCACTAAGGTTGTTAAGAGCCATCTCTGCGCTGTACTCGGCCTCAGGAAATTGCCAAGAGATATCGTCCGAAAAATGCCAGCATGTCGGTGACTCGGGTACCCAGCCGCGCTCCATCAAGGTTAAGATAGTGGCCGACAACGGTCCGCGAACCCACCGTGAACGATGAGAGGGTGGCATATTCTGAAATCTTTTGACCAGCAACGGCCACGCACGGTAAACCCCTGGCCGAATCTGCGGCTGAGTAAACCATTGATGCAACCATAAACTCAAAATTTCACGAGGCAACTGAATACCAGGGTCCGCCGATTCGCCACGAATAGACAACAGAGTGGTAGTACACATGCCTTTACCCCCTGAGCTGCACACCGCGGCTAAATCTCTGCGACATTGTTGGAGACGTTGGCCGAAAGTCCCATGGATAGACTGACCAAAGTTACCTGCAGCCTGCGCCCCCATCTTCTCGAGACGAGCCGTGACGTGGCATCTCTTTGAAGCCCGCGCAAAACGAACCACTTTGGAATGGAGCCGCCGCTGCTTCAGCCCACGTTTGGTGCGAACCTCACGGGCAGTACGACGACCACCACCCTGATCCACTCCAAGGAAGCCGGCCTACAGTTGCGCTCTCAAAACCAAGCCTCGCTTCCGCAGACGACGCACGATTTCCTTAGCATCCCCATGGTGCGAGCAAATAACACAAGATTTAGCCGCAATCTTGAGCTTGACAGAAGCTAGCTCGGCTGCAGTGTCGGCCAAACAAGCCGTGAGCCCATCACGTACTGCCGCCCTCGATCCAGCCAAACTTTGAGAAAGATCGTCGATCCAAATACGGTTGGATATCTGCGAATGCTGCTGGCATATCTTGGCCATGACAAAGTGCGTCATACATTTTGCGAAGCGCGTGCCTGACCGAAGGCCCTGTATGATGCTGCACGTGGCAAGGAACGGTTGGCTGACCGCCCCTTGCTGCTCCAAGGCCCTCGGCGCCATGCACTGAGACAACTCCAGATACATGATGACGGGCGGGAATCCGAGCCTCAACGAGACCTGGACGAGGATGTCCCATTCTATGCCGTCGTAGAACCCCTCGACGTCCATGAGACCGTGACCGAAAGGCGTGTCGAGCACGCCCGCCACTTCTTCCTGGAGCGTACGATGGAACGCCTCCCTGAGGGAGGCATTCCCACAAATCGCTGCATCCCACTCGTCCTCAACAAGTGAGCACCAGTCCCGAACATGGCCCTCCCGAGTGAGAGACCACAACCTCCCCAAAAACGACACCAGCCCGATCACGCGATCGCCGCCCAGCTTCTTCGGCAGAAGCTTGCCGATGATCAGCTGGGTCTGGAAAGGCCAGGCCAACGAGTACTCGATCAGGTTGAGCAACTCTGCTAGCTCCACTACTGCACTATCAGGGAGCCGCTCCACGTCGATCGGCGTCATCCGATCGGCGCCTAGACCAGTAGTGGCCTTCATCTTGTGTGCTGCTGCGCGCACCTCAGCAGCTGCGATCGGATCCAGCGGCTCCGCGCGAGCAGCCTCACGAGCAGCCCCATATGCACGTGCCAACTTGGTCTCGTCGACCACGTGGGGCGCCCACTTCTTCTGCCAATGCTTGCACTTGCCGTCGATGATGTCCCGCGGGTGGACGACGGCAATGTCCCCTTCCAGGATTCGAGCGGCGGAAGCGGCTCCTCCCGCATGCTGCGGTGCAGGACCCCCACAGCAGACTGCTGAGTGACCCACTGCTGGAATTCCGACAGCGACTCGTGGACGGCCTTCCGCTACCCTCGTCGAGCCAGCCGAGCCGCCTGCTCCTGGAAGGACTGCAGCACTGGCGCGGCCACAGCCTTCACATTAAGCAACACCGTCGCCCACTTGCGGTCACTCGCGTCCTTACCAGGGCGCAGCAGCAGGGGGAGGAGGAGGGGGAGGAGGAGGGGGAGCGGGAGGGGGAGGGGGAGGGGGAGGAGGAGGAGGAGGAGGAGGAGGAGGATGAGGAGGAGGACGAGGAGGAGGAGGAGGAGGAGGAGGAGGAGGAGGCGGAGGGGGAGGGGGAGGGGGAGGAGGAGGAGGAGGGTCTGGATGCGGCTGCCCGTACTCTCGAGGTCCGCGTGCGCTTCGACCGTCGGCCCGTGCTCGCCCGCCCCGGGCGCCGGCGCGGCGACCGCCGACGGCGCCGCGGCCGCCACGCCGGCGTGTCCGTCGGCCGTCTGCCGCCAGCTCTCGGCCCCCGCCTCCCTGGCCAGGCCAGAGGCCGGCTGGGTCCGAAAGCCGAGGGGGGCCACGGGGATAACCGTGTGGGGTTCTGAGTGGATCGGGGGGAGCTGCTGGTCGGGAAGAAAGGACCACGTAAACATAAACTGTTGGCGCTCCGTGCGGATGTCTTGGATTCGCGCTGGACCCCCCTCCCTGGCGCGCGGATCGCGCCAGGGGCGGCGCCAGAGGCGCCACTGGTGGGGGCCCAGGCGCGGATCTTCCCTGGCCAGGCCGGAGGTCGGCTGGGTCCGAAAGTCGAGGGGGGCTATAGGTAACGCCAGACATGCTCGCGTCGTAAAAAAAAATCCGGACGGGACGTGTTTCGCTATGTTCGACCCCTGGGGGTCCTCGCCGGCCCCCGGCAGCGTCAAAAAACGGCTCAGGACGAAAAACCGGCCCTGGGGAAAGGGTCAGGACTTCCAGGAACGCCGCACTGAAAAAATCAGGACGTCGCGTGTCTGGGGTTGCACTTTGTTCACACCGGGCTTTTTCGCCCGATTTCGGGCCCCGGGACCCTCCCAGATCGATTTGGCTCGAGAAGCGACGCAGAAAGATTGAGTCCAGGGTTCGGGTCGTGATTTTCGCCATGTTGCAAGTTTTCCGCAACGACGGATCTCAGGGAACCCAGACCACCCCCCCTCCTGGCCCCTGACGGGCCCCATCGAGACCCTCCCCCGTGCCGACCAATTCGTGGACCTTCCTTCGGTCAACCGACCAGGGCGCCGCCTCGGCGTCAGCGAGCGCCACGGCGTCGCAGCGGCGTGCCGCGTCGGCGCAGCGACGGCGCCCGCCCGCGAGGACAGGGCCGGCGTGGAGCGGGCCAGCGCTGGCCAGGCCCGCGTCTTCAGCGCCGCGGCTGTCGCGGCGGCCCTCCGGCCGCACCGCGGGGTCCGACGCCACGGGCGCCGCGGAAGCCCCAGGGCGGCCCGCGGGAGAGCGGCGCCTCGGCGGCACGGCGGGGGCCGCCGCGGCCGGGCCAGGTCGGCCCGCACGGCCGCAGCGCCGCGACAACGGCAGCGGGCAGCCAGGCCGCAGGGCGGGGAGCGGAAGGAGCAGACGAGAGGGCGCTGCGTCCAACGGCCCAGGTCTTGAGAGAGGGGCGCGGCGATCCCGGGAGAAGGCCTGGCGTCCCCGCCCCCTCCCCAGCCGCCTCCCCTCGGGGGCGCCTGCTTCCGTCGCCAACCCTGCGGCCACGCACGGGCTTCGCAGGCCTGGACCCGAGGTTGACTGCAAGAGGTATCGCGCCGACACCGTGCCAAAAAACACCGCTGGAATAATGTTACGCAGGAGTCTCCTTACGTCCAGGGCTGGCGAACAGCCCAGCGGCAGTCCGAAGATACGGGTGCAGGGCCGAGGGGATCTTCGAGGGAGGATAGCAGATGAAGAGTGTCGCTGATTTCCTCATCTTCTGTCACTACAGGCTCGGAAGTGCTTCTCCGAACGCCACACCAGAGCCCCAACAGCACCCGAAGAACAAATGAAGGCTTCTGCGCCCAGCCCCGTCCGCATCAGCAGACGCGCGGTCCACACGCCCCCCCCCCATATAGAATTCTAAACGGGCTGCCGCCTGCGGGGAGGGGCCCTGGGGTGATCCATTCCTCAAATTAAAGTTTCAAGGAGGAGAGTGGATGGAGCCTGGTTGGGCGATTCTGCTTAGAGTGTCCTCAAAATCTGCCGGGTTTGGCTCCTGATTTGGCGCTCCGCCTGAGACATCCTTAATGTTTGCTTGGTTTGGCCCCTATTTTGGCCTGGCTTTGGCACGGTATCGCATTAGACGTCTTCTAACTTTGCCTGGTTTGGCCTGGTTTGGACCAGTTTCGCTTGAGACGTGTTACTTGGTTTTGCAATGGTTAAGCCTGGTTTGGGCCTGGCTTCCGTTTGAGACGTCCTCGCAATTTGCGTATTGTGGCCCTGGTTTGGCATGGTTTCGGCCCCGTTCCGCTTGAGACTTCCTCACAGCTTGTGGTGGTGATTCGGACTGGCATACTGCACAAGAGAAAACATCGCAAGACACATTGGAATGTGCCACGTTGTCTCCGACACTGAATGGATGCTTAACAGGTCGTGGTGGGTGTATAAAGAGACGAAGTAATGGCACAGTGCGCAATGAAGACCCATCGTGGTCCGCATATAGCACAAGTGCGCTACAGCATGACGGGCGAAATTGGCGTAGACATGCCCAACACGCTGTGAATCGACATGGGCGCGTGTGGCGGCGTTAGGAGAAGACCTGTCCGAGGCAGTAGATGCCAGAAATTATTCGAATAACTCCGTCGGCGATCCACGGACCCCACCGCCCTCCCTCCTCGAGTGGGCCCAGTGGCTCGTTTCGGCGGCTTTGGGGGCACCCGATCAACATCCGTGGAGGAGGTGCAGGAGGTAAAGTTTCGTGTGGGATGGTCGCACTCGTCGCTGGTGCCGCCTACGCCCAGGTTCCCTGCCTCGAAGACCCACTGCGACGGGGAGGGCCGCGGACGTCACGCTCGAAGGTCTGCGATTCGGGACCGGGCCCAGCTCTCGCCGCCCCCAGGCCGCGGGGCAGAGCCCAGCCAGCTCGGCGAGGCTGCTGCTGCGTGGCGCCGGCTGATTGGCGGCGGCTTCGCAGAGCAGACGCCCGAGCCCGCAAGCGCCCCCTCGGGCTCGGGTGAGTCGGCGGCGACGCACCAGGACGTGCCGCCGCGGCCGTCGAGGCCTGCTGGCGTGGCAGACTCCGCGCTCGAGCGGTGCAGCTCGGCGCCGAGCAGCTGCTCGTGCGAGGCCAGGGGCGCAGCGGAGGCGCGGAGCCCGGCGCGGACAGGCCCGTGGCGGCTCGACCTCTCGAGGGCCCGAGGAGGCCCAGGGGGCAGTCCAGCGGAGCCCTGCCGGGCTGCGCGGGCAGCTCGGAGCCAGCAGTCTCCGCAGCGCGTCGGCGGCTCCTCGGCCCGCCTAGAGCCTGCTGGACGGACTGCCCCGGGGCCTCCTTGACGAGATCTCGGACACCTATCACAAAGTCATAGGTCCCCCAAAAAATCACGGGTGTTTCGGGGTCGTTTCGATTCGGAGCGGATCTGAAGCCAATGTCCAATCTCAGGATACCTTGTCGTCGAAGCACGGAAGCGAAGTGCACAACAGCAGTCGTAACAATCAAATGTTGATTATCGTTGTTGGCAAGTGTGACGCTATCGTGTTTCCAAGTCCTGACCATAGGTATCAACATAGGTGACTTGTAGGACTTCCTGTTCGCCCCTGAGAGATGGGCTCGAGTCGGTCGCCGCCGTGGCCGATATCTTGATCGGTTCGCACATCGGCGGCGGGCGGGTATTGTTTCCAATCCAAGTCGTTTCATTGTGTCTTTGTGTTGTTTGTTTGATCGCTCGTTTGTGGGTGCGTGTGCGTGCTTCCTGGCATGCTTAGTCGTTGAGCGCGCTTGTGTGCGTGATTGCTTTGCATGCTGCTTTGGCAGCTTGCTTGCATGCGGGCTTGCAGAACTGCGCGGTTGTCTTAAGTGCGTGAATGTGTGCGTGTTATGGCGCCTCCGTGCTTGGTTGCGTGATTGCTTGCTTGCGTGATTATCCGCTCGCTTGATCGCATGCTTCCCTTGATGTACTGCCTGTGCTTGACTCACGGACTTCCCCTAAACAGCATACCTGAAAGGGTTATGTGTAATGTTTCGAACGTCCAGTGAGGGAGCCCGTGCCACCGAACTCGGTGGCCCGTCGTGGTCCCCCAGCGTGAATTGTGTAAAGTTGTTCAGGGTCTCATGCAGCAAGGGTGCCTCTGTTCATGTGTGCTTGTTTGGCTGATTAGCTTCCGTCGCGTTTGTAGTGTTACGTCAACGGTTATGCGGAAGCAGTTTTGCTAGTGACTTGTATGCTGGCATCCAAGCACTGATACGAGTCTGGCAAACAATTACGTCTACCGAGATCTCCCGAACAGGCTCGGTAGAGCTATCGTGGGACCGTCTGGCTGGGTTTGGGGGCTGCTATGAAGCCCTCGTGGAACGGTCTTGGGCAGTCTGGGGGAACCTCTGTTGGTATTTGGCCTCTCTGGGGGGCACGTGTTGGAGCTTACTGGGGCCATTGAGGACTGTTCCGGGCCATCTGACCAAAGCTGTCCTGAGGCAATGCTGAGCGGCAAAAATCAAGAAACGACGAATCTTGAAAACAATGTGTGCCTCCATATGTTTCGTTTTTAAAGGCCCTTGTGGGCCTCGAAAACGCTTTGGGGCTGTCTTGGGCAGGGTAGTTCTAGCAATCTCTGTAGAAGAAGTTCGGTTAAATCATCTTCGCATGATATGAGCGGGTGTTAGTTCCGTCGTAAGGTATGTTTAGATGGGGATGTATTGTTCAGTCGTGATTGCTTGGGGGGCCGTTGAGCACTTGGGCACTTCTCGGACCCGTGCAGGGCTTTCTGAAGCTGTCCTGAAGCCATACGATTGAGCCAGAGAGCTCTAGGAGCGAAAATTACCCCGACGGTAGGACCCCACATGAGAATATATGTTGCTTGTCCCTCGCCCTTTTCTTCTTCGACTGGCGGAGGCCTTCCTTCCGCCCTCTGCGTCCTCCTCCTCCTCCTTTTCATCCTGTTCCTCCTCCTCCTGTTCATTATCGCATTGTTTATCCTCTTGCTCGTCCGCCTCCTCCTTTTCCTCCTCTTCCTCCTCGTCCTCCGCCTCCTCCTCTCCCTGTCCCTCCTCGTAGTATTCCCCATATCCTAAGGATTGGGGTTCTTGTTATTATTCTGACGCCTCCCACTCCTCCTCCTCCTTCTTCCTCCCGCTCGCGCCTCCCTCCTCCCAATGATAATCACCAGATAAGACAAGACAAGATAAGATACTACAATATAAGATAAGATAGCACAAGATATGATAAGAAGCGATTTCAAGATAATATAAGATAAGATAAGCTCACACTCACACTCTCTCATGATCACAAAACGCTGCCAGGGGCATCATTTGGGAGCCCCAAGGGGGAGCCACCCTGGCTGATCTCACGAGCCCGTTCGCGCCGATTTTGGTGGGACGTCTCAGCTAGAATTGCCGTTTGGC